CATTCTTCTCAGAGTCAGCCACAGCTTGTTGTGATCCACACAGTCAAAAGCCTTTGCATAGTCAATGAGGCACAGATAGACATTCTTCTGGTATTCTCTGCTTTCTGCCAAGATCCATCTAACATTAGCTATAATATCCCTAGTACCACGACCACTTTTAAATCCAGCCTGCACCTCTGACGGTTCTCTGTTGACATATTGTTCCAAAAGTTTTTGGATAATTTTCAGTAGAATCTTGCTTGCATGTGATATTAATGATATTGTTCGATAATTTCCACACTCTTTTGGATCACCTTTCTTTGGAATGGGAACAAATATCGATCTTTTCCAGTCAGTGGGCCAGCTGGCTGTTCTCCAGATTTCTTGGCACAACTTAGCGAGCACATCCAGGCAAGTGTCTGTTTGTTGAAATATGTCAATTGGTATGCCGTCAACTCCTGGAGCCTTGTTTTTTGCCAATTCCTTCAGGGCAATTTGGACTTCCTCCTTCATCACCATAGGCTCTTGCTCATATGTCATTTTACGAAATTCTTTTGACAGCCAATTTCTTCTAATACAGTGTCTCTGTGTATTCCTTCCATCTTCTCTCGACACTTCCTGGATCATTTAACATTCTACCCACGGTATCCTTAAGTATTGCCACCCGTGTCTTGAATTTGTTTTTCACCTTCTTCAGCTTAAGAAATGCTGAGCGAGTTCGGCCCTTTTGATTTTTCTGACTCCAGCTCTCTGCACATTTCATAATAGTATCTTTCTTTGTCATCCCGAGCTGCCTTTTGAAATTTTCTGTTTAGTTCTTTGATTTCTTGGTTTCTTCCTTTAGCTTCGGCTTCTTGGTGCTCTAATGCAATATTGAGAGTCTCATCTGACATCCATCTTGGTCTTTTCTTCTTTTTCAGCCTTTGTAATGATCTTTTGCATTCTTCAAGAACGATTTTCTTGATATGCTCCTAGAGCTCATTTGGTCTATGCTCATTGGTGTTCAAGGCCTCAAACCTGTTCCTGAGTAGCTTCTGTAAACTATGGAAACAATTCCTTACCTGCCGCTTCCTTCCTTATGAATTCAAGCCTCCAGCCTGGAAGAACTTTTGGGCATTTTCTCCACACCATACTCTCTCCATCTTCTGGCCTTGCCTTCTTGTTCCCCATATTTGGCACTCTTGCTGCCTCCCTCATGAACCTCACCCCCATTCGGAATGGTGTGGCGCATCAGATCAAAGAGATACTAGATGCCAAGCTGATAAAAGGACTCTAGGTAATCTGGGAATTCACAGATAGACCACCTATGGTCTCTGAGTCAAAGAATTCAGCTTCACTGTTGCTCTGACCTTCAGGAAGGGTCATTCACACCAAATCCAAATAGGCACTAGGAAGGACCCAGATCCATTTGTTTTGACAGAGTACCAGAGGACATGGGCTCCCAGTGTCCTGTGATGATGTGTGTGGTTGGTTGATTTTCTGTTACTATGAGTCAGGCAATGGAAACATTTGAGAAATTAATCCATGAGGAGAGGAACTTTCACAACATGCAGAATATGAGAAGCCTTGGAGAAGAAGGGCAAGGGACACATTGAGCATGTTTACAACTACGGAGCTACCCAGGCCATGCCAAATTTCTGACACACAGCCAGTGTTCACAAAAGATTTACTAAATGATCATTTCTGATGCTTCACTAAGAAAACATTACAAGTGTGGATACCTTTCTTGGAAGCTGTGCTGCTGAGGAAATCAATGAGAAAATTCATATCAACAATTCTTTTGGAAATCATGCTGTTCAGGGACTACAACAAAAAGTACTCCTATTTAGTTAAATCTAACTCAAAGCAACCCTCTACTGGGGTCCCGCAGCTATAAATCTTTATAGGAAGAGCCTGTCCATATCTCTTCCTTGGAGCAACTAGTGGATTTGAACCACTGACATTGTGGTGAACAGCTCACCACATACAAAGCATTAGTAATTTTCTTATGCAGACATCAAAAAATTGCCATCTTTTATAAAGAATGAGAGAAATGCTCTTGAGTTGACAACTACACTTATTTTCACATGTTGTTGTTGTTGTTAAGTGCTGTCGAATAATATGCATAATGTCAAGAAACCAGCAAAGGTACCAGAAAAACAGCAAATTAATGTCAATTTTCTAAAACAGGTAATGAAATTGCTAACACAAATGCAGAGCTAAAGAAAGGTATATATAGTACCAGCAGCCAGGAAATCAAATGGCAAATTACACTGGGAAAGTCTGCTGTCAGAGACCTCGCCAGAGTACTGAGGAACAATTATAGCAGTCTGGAGATTAAGGTGTGCTTGATCCAGGCCATAGTCTTCATAATTACTTACTATGCATCAGTGAGCTGGACAATGACTAGGAATAATAGAAGGATAATTGATGCCTTTGAACTGTCGTGCTGGAGAAGAATATTGAATATATCATGGGCTGCTAGGAGAACAAACAGGTTAATCTTAGAGAGGGTGAAACCAGGCTGCTCCTTGGAGTCAAGGATTCTGAAGCTTCGTCTGACATACTTTGGGCATGTTGTAAGGAGGCACCAGTCTTTGGAGAGGGACATTATGCTTGGGAGTGTGGAGGGACAGTGCAAGAGAGGAAGACTCTTGATGAGATGGATTGATTCAGTGACTGGGGTGATGAAGGTAGGTGTGTCAGAGATAGGATAGAGCACAGGATAGAGCAGGGTTCAAAGCTGTTGTACATAGGGTCATTATGAGTTGCAAACAACTCAACAGCACATAACAATAACAGTGAAAATAAAACTTTCTTCACTTAATTTTGCCCTCTTTACTAAGAAGCAGCTCTTGTTTCTTACGGTTTTTTCCATAGGTATGATGCAAATTTAGAATCAGAGTTACACATATTCACATTACATGGACAAACTCTGGCCCTTCTGTGTATGTATTTTTTTTTTCCTTTAACCTGGGGATTTCCCCCTTAGCAAAAGGTTGCCTCTTATACTTTTGGGTATATGCTTGTAAAGACTGTCCGGTCTTTCACTGACACAACACCTTGTTGTTTATAGCATGGAGCTGTTAAAAACAAGGTGCCAGGGCAGAGGTTGATTCATGTATCTTATAACACAGGTTGGCTGTGTTTGTAGGGTTCTGTAAAAAGATCTCCCTTGGAATTCCTTCCTCTCTCCCACTACGGCTCTTTTGGAACTGGCCCATGCATATGAAGCCCAGAGCCCTTGCCTACCTTGCTTATTGGGAATTCCACACTGTTGAGCAGGCATAGCTTGGTTCTATCCTCTCAGATGGATAAAGAAGAACTCCTGGTACACTAGTGATAAAGTTGGGTGATCTATCTGCCCTTCGGGGGATTGATCATGGCCACATCACAGGCTGTGCTGCTTGAAGGACTGTATCTCTAAACTCATCTGGGCTCTTCTCACTCCTCATATCTGGTGCAATCCCTTTATCCCTCAGACCTCCACTTGGAGCCTGTCCTATAGTGAGAGATCCCTGCCCATTCCCATGGTGTTCCAGAGGTGCATCTTAGTTACAACTCTATGGTTTTGTATCACTGTATTTGTTTAGTAGGGCTTATCTGTAGTTCCATATCAGCTTTACCTCTATCCTTGCTCTGGAGAGGCACTAGCTGATATCTACTTGCAGCAGGATGTTCTTTATTTAGACTTCTTCCTCCCTTCTTTTCCTAACCCTTCGTCTTTGCTTTCCTCTTCCCTGCCTCCTTTTCTTCCCCTTTCCTCTTGCCTCTTTTTCTTCCTTCACCACGGGCATGGCGTTATGTGGCCTGGTGGGCCACCTTCTGCAGAGGGGTAAGTCACTCTGAGCTTTGGGGCGGGGAGAAGGTGCTCTCAGTGCTTGCAAAGAGCTGGCTTTTGACCCAGTCCAGTGCCCCACTTCCTGGGGGTCTTGGCTTCTGACTGGAAAATTGGTAAAAGTGAGGCAAGGCAGGTGCTGCTTATCTCTTGGGCTTCCCTTGGAGTGAGTCTAAAAGCATAGGTGACTATGCCACGACCCTTACACAAAAACAAGTGCCATACATTCATTTGACAGCAGTGACTGTTTTTAGAATCGAACTTTGGCTCCACATAACAGGACAAACACAGTCTGCAACCAAAACAGTTTACCTTCCTTCCACCCACGGTTTGTGCAGGGCCTTGAGTGCTGAAGCAAAGAGCAAAACAAACTTAATTTGAGCAACCAACCCAGATCACGAAGTTCTGTCAATCAATAACTACTCAATGCTTCTACTAGAGCTGCTCCTCACCCTTTATAAGGGGCCTGTGGAACACCCAAGGAGCTTCAGATACTTCTCTGTCACTGCGTCTCCAAACCGCTGCCTCTGACCAACACCAATAGCCACCAAGTTACCTCCAATCTAGCCACATCAGTGGCCACCACTCTCCTCCACCAGTCCACCGCTCCTACCTGCCACTGTTGACTGCTTGAGATGCTCGAGACCTTCGGTGCCCGCCCATGGTCGATGCTACTCTTCCTGGGCATCCTCTTCGGCATGGCCTTTGGTGCACCCCAGCCCTGGCGCTGTGCGCCCTGCACGGAAGAGAAGGTGGCGCTCTGTCCGCCAGTCCCTGCCACGTGCCTGGAGCGTGCCCAGCCGGCCGGCTGTGGCTGCTGCCCCTTGTGCGCTTTACCTCTGGGCACAGCCTGTGGAGTGCGCACAGCCCGGTGTGCTCGCGGGCTGACCTGCCGTGCGCTGCCAGGAGAACCTTGGCCACTACATGCACTCACCCGAGGTCAAGGTGCCTGTGTGTCTGTGCAGGAGGAAGCTGAGACTACTCCCAGTACCCAGGCCACAGGTGAGGCCCGTTACCCCCTCGATGATCTCTACAGGCCTGATGCCTGAGATATACACCAGGAAGGGGTGATCTGAAATCCCCGAGAGAGTCAGCCTCAATACTGCCAGGGTTGGACCTTTCCATAGAGGAAAGGATCTCAGACTACGCAGCTAAGTACCTCTGGCAAGGGATGCCCAAAGAGAATAATGGAAATGCCTGGACATGGGAACCCTGGTGGGAGGGTGGAGGAGAGAAACCCACAGCCTAGCGACATGGGCCTTCCACAGGTGCCTGGGAAAGGAAAGGAATAGGCCTTCCCCAGTCCCAGGACGGGACAGGCATCCTGCACCCTCCCCCTGTGGTAAGTGGGCCAGAATGGAGCTTCTGTGAAGACCAAGTGGTGGTCATCTTCTGTGCTCCTCTCCCACCTCATTCCTCACATAGGCTTGGAATTTCCTTTGTAATATATGTTCCGTGGATACAGTATGTACTTCCCAGATGTTTATAGAACATTATGTGAGAGTTTGCTCTAAACATTTACCTTCTATTCATTCCTTTTGAAAACAGTGATCTGTATGTTGAGATGACCTCTTAAGAACTTGACAGTTAGGCTCTTTCCTGAATTTAGGCAGCAATTTATTTGTAGTAGGAACCAAAGGAAATGCTCCCCTTGGGTTAGTAGTACGTCCTGTGTGGATTTTTAAGGGATCCATATCCCAGAGGGAACTGCCTTGATTGAGTGTGTGATTCTTCTAAGGAAGGGACGTGCCTTTCCTGCTCATTCTGTTCTTTAGAATAAATGGAATGACTTCTCTAAACAAATGGTGCCTTCCACTACAGGAAGAGGACAGGTCTAATAGTCCCCAAGTGGATGATTTTCACAGCAGAATCCATTAAAATAAATTCTCCTTGATCCTATAAAAAACTTATCTAACCCCCTTGGTTTCTAGCTGTAAGCTAGAAACTTCTGGAAGTTACAGAAGAATCACTTCTTATGTGGGACATCTGAGCCCAGGCAAAGGGAGAATGTAGGACTATGTCAGGAAGACTACATTAAAAATGAATCCTTGCCTATTCATAGGATAGAATTAATATCTCCATTTTATGGATGTGGGGACTAAGGTTCCAACAAAAGTAACATTCCCAGGACTTTAAACTAATGAAGCTAGATATTGAACGCTAATCCCTGCCTTACAAATGTGATGTTGCACCCTTTCTTATAAGCCACAACCCAAGGAACCCTTACCAGACTCCAAAACATATTATTCTAGAATATGAATTAATGTTGCTTGTAATTGTCATTCCTCCCTAAAACCATTAGAAGTAATTTTAGAAAGAGTTGGCAGCATTCTGGATGAATGCAACCATCCTATGCCCCAGCTTGGTTTGGGGGAAGCACAGTGTAGATGCTGGTGCATCTCAAGGGAATTGCGTATTCTATTTCAGATGTGAAGGACTCTTCAGATCCAGAGACTGTGCATTCTGAGAGTGTGGAGATAACACAGGAACAGCTGTTGGACAATTTCCACCTGATGGCCCCTTCTGGTGATGAAGGATATATCCTCTGGAATATCATCAGCACCTATGAGAGCATCAGGGATAGAGACACAACAGATATAAAAAAATGGAAGGTAAGGTCCTCCTAGTGGTAGGTACTCTCTCCATGCTGAAACCTGTGCCGTTCTTGCTGTTCCTAAAGCCCTGCACATAAAGACATTTATTCCCAAAGCCTAATGAGCACTTTGTAGCTTAGCTTTGCTATACTTTTTAGCATATGTGCTTCTAGAAAACGTTATAATAACTAGATGGAGCAGAAAGTACAATTCCTACTGTTTATCTTTAGGTGTGTTACTTTATGTTTCAAAGTTCATTTCTACAATTAAACTGTTCTAAATGCAGCATAAGGACTTCCCCTCAGCATGGCTCTAACTCCCAACCTAGTCGCCAGCACTTCTTAATGGAAATCTGTTTTAATTTTACCACTTGATGGAAACATGGAAGAAATCTTCTAGTAACCTGAGTTCATTTGAGTAGAACAAAAATAATTTCAGAAACATTCATACCCAAACTGAGAATTTCTCAATTCATACTCAAGTTGTGAATTGAACAAATTTGGATACTTAAGACCTTTCACCTGGACATTAAGAAAAATTAAGAATAAATGCCAAGTGAAAAAAAAGATAAATGAAGAAAACTTAATTTAAAAAGGATCCATGTAAATGCATGAGATAAGTTTTTATTTCAGAGGAAAATTGTCCAAGACCTAGACATCTTCCTGTTAAATTCTTCATTGAGAATTTAACTGTACCCACTACTACTGCATGGACCTCTAAGTGTAGGTAATAAAATCCTTAACTTTTATTTTGATAACTCAAGATATAGATTAGCCACTGTAAGCTAAAAGTCAGACAGTGATCTTTCAATACTTATTTGCTCTTGTCATTTATATTAATTATGAATTCCTGTTTTAGAAGCCATGTCAAAGGGAACTCTTCAAAGTACTCAATAGATTAGCCAAGGCTCAACAGAAGGCTGGAGAAGAAATTTACAAGTTTTATCTGCCAAACTGCAACAAGAACGGATTTTATCACAGCAAACAGGTATGCAAGCCTCAATGTGTTCATCCTCACAGGGACGCCTCTGGTCACCCCACATCCCTGAAAAGCCATGATTGTCTATACCTAAAGTATTAATTAGTCCTATCATTTTAAGTAAAAGTCCCTATCCTTTGCAAATCAGGAATAGTGAGGCCCATATAACATAAGAGCAGCTCATCATTTTAAGCCTGTGGAGGAAAATCTCAGAGGGAAACCCTCTGCTGACCTAGACAGATGATGTGGATTGAGTATGAAGACACCATTACTTAACAAGTATCTGTGATTGGGGCCTTTGGGCACATCCCTAGTGTTTGGACCTTTGATTCCTCATTGATAGTATAAAGAGGAATGGAACAAACTCAGAAAAATGAATATTATACTTAGATGTTTCTTTATTTTCTCTCCACAAATGGAAAAAAGCTACACAAAATAATCTAATAGAAAGATATTTTTGATTGCTAAGTAATGAAGGACATAAAACAAACCAAGATTTAATTTCATCTTAAACTTAAGATATGTTTAAGATGCAAAATGTTTCAGACTCTAGATTTCACTGGGGGATGGGAAAGCAAGTATGACTTCATGAGAGAGGCAGAATGTTGGCTTTCCATGACACCTGCTCTGCTGGCCCCAAATGGGAAGTGTTCTTCCCTTACCCAGTAGTTCAGATGTTTTCATATCAGTCATGAAAGCGTACAGTTTTGTACACTTGGTTATTTCACATGCACATGAAGACAATATTACCCTTGATACTTTCTGAGGAGCAACTGAGAGTTTCTACTTTATCCAGGGTCACTGCTCTTTGGAGAGAGGGCTTTGTCATCCTTGTTCATTAGCTGCACTTGGTATGCTATTTCTGATACTGAGTATTATCTTTGCAGTGTGAGACGTCCTTGGAGGGTGAGGCTGGTCTCTGCTGGTGTGTGTACCCATGGAATGGAAAGAAGATCCCAGGGACCTCAGAGGTCAGAGGAGAGCTCAACTGCCACGTGTATTTGAGTTTATAAACCTCAACACAAATGCAGTAACATGTTACTTCACAAGATATGAGTATATATAGTATATTTTTACTCTAGAACAAACAGACACTTATGTATGTATATGTATAGGAATGACTTTTTTATACTCTACTTATTACTTTATATTAAATTGTTAGTTTATTTATTCACTATAAGTTTATTATTTTTCTACACAGTAACTTGTGGTTTCTTAATTTATAAATCATGATGTTTCATCGGATTATATGTAAATACTTGTGTTTTAGCTCATGCTTCTGTTTTGTACAAAACATGGGAAAACACTATGTAGAAAATGAAAAATCAAACATGTGGCAGAAATTTTGAAACAGAGTAAATAACCTGTTTATAAGAATAACTTATTCTGTATATTTCTTTGATCCAGTTTATGTCAATTTGTACTAAAAGTTAAAACACAATCAAAGTTAGATGTGATATTGCTACATTCTTCAAAAACTTACTGTACATACAAAGAAGCTGACATAAAACAAACATAATTGGAGTAAATATTTTACATGGAGAAATTTTGATGCAGTGGAAAGTTACTGCAATATATCAACTTATTTACTTTTGAAATTTTGCCTGCACCTTTGTGGATAAACCCTATGTTTGATTATCAGCATAGCTTCTCTCTCTATATGACCCTATGCACAACAAAACAAAACTGCTCAATCCTGTGCCATCCTCACAATTGATGTTGTGCTTAAGCCCATTGTTGTAGTCACTGTGTCAATCTATCTTCTTCTTTTTTAATTTTTTACAAATTTTCTTAAGGGTCTCCCTCTCTTTTGATGACCTTCAGCTTTTTAAGTATGATGTTCTTCTCCAGAGACAAGTCCCTCCTGACAATGTACTCTAAATATGTATAACAAAGTCTCACCATCATTGCCTTTAAGGAGGACTAGCTACAATCTTCCGAGGTAAATGTGTTTGTCCTTTTGGTAGTCCATGCTATATTCTACTCTTTGACAGCACCACAATTCAAGCGTCAACTATTTCTTTAGTCCTCCTTATACATACTTCACAAGAAATTGGTGGTCTTATTTAGAGGTACTTACTCAGATATTAAATAGGTATTAAAAGCTTGTTTAGACTATACTGTGTGAGTGCCTTACATTCAAGAAAACATTGCAATAATAACAATGAGGATGTTTCTCCACTCTCTCAGGATGTAGCTACTTTCCAACATGTGACAATCACAATCCTTATTGTGAAGGGTTGCAGTGAAAAACCAATTGTAGTAATTTGTGTCTGTGAATCAAAGAAACGTTATCCAAAGTTGTTGTTGTTATGTGCTGTCGAGTTGCTTGCGACTCATAGCGACCCTATGTACAACAGCTTTAAACTCTGCCCTGTCCTGTGCTAATCTCATTGTCTCTGACACACTCATCTTGATAACCCCAGTCACCGAATCAATCCATCTCCCAGAGGGCCTTCCCCTCCTGCGCCTGCCCTCTACCCTCCCAAGCATGGTGTCCCTCTCCAAGGACCGGTCCCTCCTTACAACATG